AGAATTTAACTCGTAATATTACAAGCCATATCAGAGAGAAGTTGGACAAGTTTTGCCTGTCCCAAGTTTCGTAGCGAAGAGATTGAATTTAACGTCTTTTGGTGGGATATCCCTATTTTCGACAGGACCAGTTTTTGCTGCATGCTGGGAGAGTTTTTATTATTTTTATTTAATTTATTTTAAAACAAAGTTAAAATGCTATTGTTTTATTTTATTTATAAATTTTATTATTATTATTTTATTTTCATTTATTTATTTATTTATAATAATAATAATAATATCCCTACGCACTAATCGAAAATGCATTGCTGTATATCAGAGAAAAAGAAAACATTCACAATAATAATAAAAATAACGAAAGAAAGTGTGCGATAACGATCTTCTTCATTTAACGTCTGTTTCGGTGAAATGGAAAACCTTGTCAGTTTAATCTTTGCATTTGTACCTTCTTCTTTAAATGATGACCTTCATTCATATTTACGATTGATATATTTTGTTAAATTTTTAACGATGTAGTAGAGTACATTCCATGGAGATTTCATTGTCGTGGAAATCGCAAAGTGTTTATTCAATTTTCTTTTTAATCAATTAACCCCCAAGCAAAGCGATAATGCCACTAAGACTCAGGGCAACTAGGAGTGAAAGAGAATGAAAAGATTTAAGAAAAAACCGGAAACCCAATGCCAAACAGTAAATTAGGGATAACCCTAAATGAACAATTATGATTCATCATAAACTTACTCCAAAAAAGTATCAATTATTACGGCAGTACTTATATTGATTTAGAATATGAGTAAAACCCCATGAATTGCATGATAAAGTCTCGCACTACAAAATAAGATCAGTTTTATTGCCAAAATATCGACTTGCAAAATAAAATCAGACATGTTTGCGCCTGTGTAAATGCTTATCACGGGACAATGCCAAGCATCGTCGTCTGTTTTATTTTAACTAACATTGTGATTCCTCGTTTCTTCGAGACGGTTTTGTTTTAATCTATTGTCTACTGAGAGTGAGAGAGATGTTTCTTTGAATAATTTAGACAAGTTTTGTCTATTTATTTTCAGTTGGATCCTTTCATATTTCCGGACAAAATTTTTGCTGTCATTCTTAAATGAAGAGAGAAAAATTACTACGTTGATACATATCATTTATTCCGAGTAGTTTTGACAAATATGAAAGGATCCAATGAATTGAAAATAAGTAGAACAAACATGTCTAAATTATTCCATGAAACATGTTTCAATGAAAACATGCTGTCAAAATATGCGCAATATATATATATATATATATATATATATATACACACACACAGAGAAAACAAATTGGTATGACATCTCTATAACAACGTGGTGTAAGGCTTAAACTTGAAACAGCCGGATGGAAAAGTAACGGCTTACGTGAAACGCTATGATACAAAATCATGTGATTGTACTCACGTGACTACGTGGATTCAATTAAAAAGGCCCATGTATGGACATGTGATAAGTGTAGATATCCGCACAGCAGAGAAATGAACATATTGAGATAGGTAAATATGAAGAGATATATATATATATATATATATATATATAGAGAGAGAGAGAGAAAAGAGATGCAGATATATATATATATATATAGATATATATAGATGTGTGTATCTCTCTCGCTATATATATATATATACACACACACACACAAAAACATATATATATATATAAACATATGTAAATATGGTGGTGTAATGGTTAGCAAGTTTATCTTGCTAGAACAATTAGAAGTGAGTTCGATCCATACTTTCGGCCTTGTGCCACATCTACGTTACGCTTGGAAAATTGCTATATATGTGTGCAGATATATATATATATAGAGAGAGAGAGATGAGATATATCTATAGATATATATATATATATATAAAGAGAGAGAGACTGGTCGTTAGTGATAGTTAAATTGAAATAGCTATGAAATAGGTAGATCGATAAATATGAACAGATCTGTATGTGAAGAGACGAATCTGATTATAGATTGAGCTCTTCGCTTCTAGGTCCGTTCATGTCTATCGATCTACCTAAACCTCTTCATGACTATTTCAATTTAACTCTCCCTATCTACCTCAGTCCGTACAGTTCTCTACTGATATAAGTGTACAGACTGAGAGATAGAAACAAAGAGAGGTTAAAACGCACCGAGAAATTCATGAATAAACTGATGTAGGCAGATAGATAATTGTAGATGGACTACGCATCAAGTGTTAGCCAGTGTCCAGCCGCAGCGTATCAACTACAGAATGAAGAAGCGGGTTAAAGTTTCTCCGTTGGCTAGGATTCGTCTTCTCTTCACCTTTCTCCTTGATCTCCCAATTCGTAGCGTGCGCGTTCTTGATGTTAGCTTGCCATAGCGGCCATGTTTGTGAAGAGAGAAGCGAAATAAAATCTGCGGCAATCTATTGATTCTTCTAGTCGGGAATGAAAAACCCGCCCTTGGTACTGCAGCCCGTTCGTCACTCGTCTTCCTCTTCGCCATTTTCCTTTTTATAATCATTACTATAGCCACTGCGAATCACTGTTCCTGCTGCTGCTGTAGTGGCGAAGGTTGGTCGGCGGTTAGCTTCACGACCTTCTACCTTCAGTCAACTTTCCTCTTTCTTCTTCGCAGAGACCAGGTTCGTGGCTCGTCTTGTGATAATGTTCATTTTTTTTTCTGACAAGGTTGACTCGAGTTCGGGCCCATGAACATGAGTCTGAGAAGGATACAAAATATTTTTTACGTCCTTCGCGTACTTTCTTTTGTGTAGTCGTAAAATCAGCTTTGTCTACACGCATAGATATATTTTTATTTTGTATATTTAAAATCAAATCCTTAAATTCGTTCCTGATTTGGGATCGAGTTTAATGCAGTAAAGAAAACGTGCGGATATGCATGTCTTTTTTTTTCATAATCATTTCACCCCAAGAAAGGCGATAATGCCATTAAGACGCAAGTGGTTACGAGGAGTGAAAGATAATGAGAAAACTTTAGAAGTAACTGGAAACCCAATCTTAAACAGAAAATAAAGGTTAAACCTGTTCTCCTGTTCAAAAGACGGTGAAGGAGAGTGAACCGGGCAGTAAAAGGATGTTTGTTTAAGCATTTTTTCTCTTTGATACTGTGAAGTATTTTCAGATCTGGAATAGACCGTATGTTCGGCTATTTAAATATTGATATTTTTTTAAATTTGTAATTCCAGACCCCCGTTTATTTTATTTACCTCTTCTCTTTTTTAATCTCTCTCTTTATTCCAAAATGTCCGTTTATTTTAACCTCTCTCTATTCATTTTTTCTTCTTTGGAAAGATTGTGGAATGGTTTTCAGTTACTTTCTCCATGGTTCGCTATTCAGATTTTTTTCTGAGTCTGTCGTCCAAGATTAGAGAGTCCACTCTATCCTACAACTTTGCCTATAGATGGTGGGAGTAAATATTACATTTTTTCTTTTATTATATCTTAATAATTTTGGTATCTGTCTATATTTCTGAGATGAGGTATTATGTACACTATTTACATTATTCGGACTATTGTCCTCATCTTTCTTGTCATATTTATCACAACGTTTCGACCGTTGTACGATCCGGCCTTCTTCAGGTAGTTGGAATGTCGAACTGAACCCTTTATTTCGCTTGCTGGAGCAGACTGTTCTAGTTCCACGTGCCATGTTTAATGGATGTCAGTTAACAGTTATCGAACTTGGAGAAGTGAATTAACAAGAGATAACTGATAACAGACATCCATTAGACATGGTATATGGAACTAGAACAGTCTACCCCAGTGAGCGAAATAAAGGGTTCAGTTCGACATTCCAACTACCTGAAGAAGGCCGGAGCGTACAACGGCCGAAACGTTGTGATAAATATGGCAACAAAGATGAGGACAATAGTCCGAATAATGTAAAAAGTCTTAATAATTTTATAAGGCATTTGTTTTCATTAAGGATTTTATAAAAATTGATTTCTCATTCTGATTTAATGGCTATACTTTATTAACTGTCACCCTTCCTTTTATTATTTCGTTAAATTGTACTTTTACTTTTGACTCTTAGGTCCGGAATAAAAGTGCTATTTGGATAATTCACTCAAAATTAAATTTGTTTTCTGAACAGAGAAAGAGATGGATGGAATTAGTAGACAAGTTGGAATACATACACAGATAGGGAAAAAAATGGAAAATAAAATAGATATGGCGAACATTATTTACATTAGTCGGACTATTGTCCTCATCTTTGTCGCCATATTTATTACATCGTTTCGGCCGTTGTACGCTCCGGCCTTCTCCAGGTGGTTGGAATGTCGAACTGAACACTTTATTTCGCTCACTGGGATAGATTGTTCTAGTTCAACGTGCCATGTTTAATGGATGTCAGTTATCAGTTACCTCCTGTTAATTTCCCGCTGTTATCCACTGTGCCATGTGTCCTCAAGGACACATGGCACATTGGCTAAAGGCGTTGGTTAGATCCAGTGACAGGACCCAAAGAGTGTGAGTTCAATACACGGTTAAGGCAGTGGAGAACTTTCAGAGGGAAATTAACAGTTCAGTTCGACATTCCAACCACCTGAAGAAGGCCGGGGCGTACAACGGGCGAAACGTTGTAATAAATATGGCGACAAAGATGAGGACAATAGTCCGAATAATGTAAATGATGTACATAATATCTCATTTCAGAAATATAGACAGATATGGCGAAGTTGAAAATCAATGGAAATTTAAATAACCGGCCTAGCCCGTCTAATACGGACGCGAGAGTATTCGTATACGTAAGAACTAAGACGTTGAAAATTAAAAGTAACCACAGTTGTTGTCATACCTGCTATATCTTTGGTTAAATAATCTTCAAAATTGATATTTTTCAGTTCCCATTTCCATGGATACGCGCATATATGCACATCTACATCCACGTAGGTCGTGGGGCGGGGTATACAAAACTTACTAGCCTCGAACAGACTATGAACATTTTTAAATAAGAGAATCTTTATCAAAAGAAACTAAATGCACTTCAACGTAAACAATCGCGAAAGGAAGATTCTCTGCTTCTGTATCTCCGTTTTTTTTTCTCTCCTACATTCCTTTCTTTCTTTCTTTTCTTTGCTTTCTTTCTTTTCTTTCTTTCTTTCTTTCTTTTCTTTGCTTTCTTTCTTTCTTTTCTTTGCTTTCTTTCTTTCTTTCTTTCTTTGCTTTCTTTCTTTGCTTTCTTTCTTTCTTTCTTTTCTTTGCTTTCTTTCTTTCTTTCTTTCTTTGCTTTCTTTCTTTGCTTTCTTTCCTTTCTTTCTTTCTTTCTTTCCTTTCTTTGCTTTCTTTCCTTTCTTTCTTTCTTTCTTTCCTTTCTTTGCTTTCTTTCCTTTCTTTCTTTCCTTTCTTTCTTTCTTTGCTTTCTTTGCTTTCTTTCTTTCTTTGCTTTCTTTCTTTCCTTTCTTTCTTTCTTTCTTTCTTTTCTTTGCTTTCTTTCTTTCTTTCTTTTCTTTGCTTTCTTTCTTTCTTTCTTTCTTTGCTTTCTTTCTTTTCTTTCTTTCTTTCTTTCTTTTCTTTGCTTTCTTTCTTTCTTTGCTTTCTTTCTTTGCTTTCTTTCCTTTCTTTCTTTCTTTCTTTCCTTTCTTTCTTTCTTTCCTTTCTTTCTTTCTTTCCTTTCTTTGCTTTCTTTCCTTTCTTTGCTTTCTTTCCTTTCTTTCTTTCTTTCCTTTCTTTCTTTTTGCTTTCTTTGCTTTCTTTCTTTCTTTGCTTTCTTTCTTTGCTTTCTTTCTTTGCTTTCTTTCTTTGCTTTCTTTCTTTGCTTTCTTTCCTTTCTTTCTTTCCTTTTTTTCTTTCTTTCTTTGCTTTCTTTCCTTGCTTTCTTTCTTTGCTTTCTTTGCTTTCTTTCCTTTCTTTCTTTCCTTTCTTTCTTTCTTTCTTTGCTTTCTTTCCTTTTTTTCTTTCCTTTCTTTTTTTTTCTTTCTTTCTTTGCTTTCTTTTTTCTTTCTTTCTTTCTTTCTTTCTTTCTTTCTTTCTTTCTTTTCTTTCTTTCTTTTGCTTTCTTTCTTTCCTTTCTTTCCTTTCTTTCTTTTCTTTCTTTCTTTTCTTTTTCTTTTCTTTCTTTCTTTTTCTTTCTTTTCTTTGCTTTCTTTCTTTCTTTCTTTCTTTTCTTTCTTTCTTTCTTTCTTTCTTTTCTTTCCTTTCTTTCTTTCCTTTCTTTCTTTCCTTTCTTTCTTTCTTTCTTTGCTTTCTTTCCTTTTTTTCTTTCTTTCTTTGCTTTCTTTCCTTGCTTTCTTTCTTTGCTTTCTTTGCTTTCTTTCCTTTCTTTCTTTCCTTTCTTTCTTTCTTTCTTTGCTTTCTTTCCTTTTTTTCTTTCTTTCTTTGCTTTCTTTCCTTTCTTTCTTTGCTTTCTTTCTTTGCTTTCTTTCTTTGCTTTCTTTCTTTCTTTCTTTGCTTTCTTTCCTTTTTTCTTTCTTTCTTTGCTTTCTTTCCTTTTTTTCTTTCTTTCTTTGCTTTCTTTCTTTGCTTTCTTTCTTTGCTTTCTTTCTTTGCTTTCTTTCTTTGCTTTCTTTTCTTTCTTTCTTTCTTTGCTTTCTTTCCTTTCTTTCTTTGCTTTCTTTCTTGCTTTCTTTCCTTGTTTGTTTTCTTTCTTTCTTTCTTTCCTTGTTTGTTTTCTTTCTTTCTTTCTTTCCTTGTTTGTTTTCTTTCTTTCTTTCTTTCCTTGTTTGTTTTCTTTCTTTCTTTGCTTTCTTTTCCTTCTTTGCTTTTCTTTCTTTCCTTCTTTGCTTTTCTTTCTTTCCTTGCTCGTTTGCTTTTTTTGCTTTCTTTCCTTCTTTGCTTTCTTTTCTTTGCTTTCTTTCCTTCTTTCCTCTCTTTCTTTCCTCCCTTTCTTTCTTCGTTTGCTACCTTCCTTTCTTTCCTAGTTTCCTTCCTCCCTCTCTTCCTTTCTTTCCTTGTTTGCTTCTTCCCTTCTTTCCTTTTTTCTTTCCTCCCCTTTCCTTCCTTTCCTTATTATCTATGTTTTCTTCTAATAAGAAAATAACTGCAATAAAAGAACCTTTTCTCAAAGGAAACAAAAATAAACTCACTTCAACGTGAACAATCTTGAAGGCAAGATTCTATCCGTTTCAGACAATTAGGTATCAGCTAGTGTAAAAAGAAAATGACAACTTTTAATAATGACTTAAGAGTGTGCCGAAAGCGCTCGTCCACTCAGATAAATATTATACTATCTTAATTACAGCCCTCAGAAAGCCATCCATGAATTTGAATAGAATATCACGACCATTACGAATACATGACTGCTCACGCTTAATTAAATGTTAGGGAAAGTGATCCTCCAAGCTATATATCCAACAATATACATACACATGCTGGAACGAAATAAATTAATCATAGGCAAAGAAACATATTGATACACAGAGATATAGACAGTTTGGTCGCGATTGCTGCAAATAATGGATCCTGTGGAATGGTGAGATATTGGTCTTTGTAGGGAATCATGGGAAGTAAGTGCATCAAAACCTAAAGAATTAAGACTTCCTACATTCTGGGGGCGCTTCTTCATGCTGAAGAATGTATTAACCGAGCTAAAATAAAACGTGTGGGTAGAAAGAGGGCTTATATTGTTTCTGCTGCGACTCGATGGGTTTGTGAAGAATGTGGCCTGGCTGAAATACGGGTACATCAGATTGAATAAAAATGTTTCCGTCAATAGGACTTGACTGTTATCTATTGTCATAAACAATGCAAAAACAAGACTACTCTCACTGGGCACAGAAAGGTCATAGCATAAACATGGTACAAAAATATTTCCTAAATAAATTTGTTAGCAGTGTAATCTTCTGTGCGTCTCTTCAGGCATTGGCGATCATGGCTCTCCATAATTCGCTGCCCTTTGTAGCTCTTAATAAATTTTCTTTTTGTTATATCTCCTAAAACTTGTTCCGCCATCCATAAACTCATACTATCTCAGTTGGTTATACGTTGCTTTCCACTGTCCCTTTTGTCTTCTGTATGTCCTGTGAGTATCAAATTTTTCAAGCCCTCTTTCCTGTGCTCAGTAAATTCCAACTGCCTCTTCCTAATGTTATGAATAAGTGTTTTTTTGTTTCGATTTTCTCTAAAGCTTCATCGTTGATCATATGCTCGTCATCCTTCTGTAGAAACATAACTGTTTCTTTAAGTCTTGTGTTCATCTGTGAGGTGATTGTCCAGCATTCACTGCCTGATATTACGTAACAGCAACACTGTAATAGAATTTTTAATAGCCTTTCTGGATCTTACAGTCATTACAATGGCGATGAGCTAGTAGCAACAGCAGATATGTAGTTATGGTGAAAATATGGTAATTCTGGTAATCGAGTGGACAGCTGCCACGTATGTGTTGTAACATACCTACGGACGATAATGAGTATATCCCCATTCACATAAATACAGTAGTAAATACTGTATGTTGGTCCGCCGTTGGAAATTCGCCTCCAGCTGTGCTGATCAAACTCTCTGCCTCCGAGCAGAGGGGATCCCTAGACGAGGTTATGTCGAAAAGCTGGGTCTCGTCTCGGGAAACAGCTATCCGATCCCGCTTTATACAGGTTTTATGGGAACTTTCGGCCGAGCATACGGGCTCGGATACCCCACATTAAATTCGGCCTTGTGCCACATCTGACCGCGTGGGGCAGTTGATAGATATCCTAGAATTGGAGATTCATTGTAGAATTCACTTGGCTCACTTCTAGCAGCTGACTACTACTTCTACGCACCGCTGGCGAATCTTATATATGTTGTTCTTGTCCGAAGTATTATTGTTCATTACCAACCTTAGTTTGATTGTTGTATTCAGTAACCTTCCCAAGGTTACAACAATATGTATAGACACTTTGATGATCAACAATAATGAAGGCTTTAACTTGCAAAAATTTTATTTTTTCCAGATGATAATGCATTCAAGGCAATCAGTCTTCGTAAATACAGAATTTAGCATCATGAGATAGAGCCATAGGGGTTAAAATCGTATCATTCACTTATCGTATGTAAAGCGCAATCTCGCGTATCATGCGACCCTTCTAAATTTTCCTATATAAAAATTTTTATCATGCATCGCGTGTATCGTGCGAGTTCCTTTTTTAAACGACCAAATTACAACAGACTAACCTCTTTTACTGTATCTCTTTATCCCATCTTCTAGTTAAATAAGTTCAAAAGTAAAAGTGAATGATAAAAGTATTGTTAGTAATGCTATACTCATGGCGTAAACACGTACAGCCATAAACAATCAAACGAGAAACAGCTAAACATTTTATAATCGTAAACAATGGAAAAGATGCATATTCGCTATGTTTGTATTGTATTTTATAATAGTATACTAATATATGAATATTACATGTATTAATATTGGATATGGTTAAGGAAAACATCAGTTTTGTCAAAATCATGTTTATTTTAAATACAGCTGTACATTTGACTACAGTAAATGGATCTATAGTTTGTTCAACGGCGTAGCCGGCGCTAGCAGTACATACACTAATTTTATATCTCGTGTATGATGCGACCCCCTTAAAATTAGCTTCAAAATTAGGTTTTAAAAATTCGCATGATACGCGAGTATATACAGTATATTTTTTCAATAAAAAGATAACAGAAAGAGTTTATATTAATTAATAATGATTACGGAGTTGGATAGATTAATTGGACCTGTGGTTGTCTGAAGTTGAAAAACGCTGGAAAAATTAAATCAAGTAGCCGAGTTAAAATTTTAGTTCAAACAGTTTGTAGTTGCTTCACACAAATGCTCTTTGTAAAGGCATGAGCCTATCTATAGTTAAATAGTTGGGTTCTCTTCACTTGGATGGATGTAACAGATACGGGGACAGAAAGAGAAATCGTAGAGCAGATTTCAAATACTAGCCAGAAATACCCTAGGGAAATTTATGAAGTCATCTGTTCCTCCAAGCTATGGGTTAAATAGTAGGACTTATAACAGGAATTATCATTGTTGTTCTCTAAAATTTTTTTAATATTCAATCGTGAAACAGAATTATTCTTACAATCCAAAATATGTAAAAATTTCAGGTAGAGTATTGATTTTCTAAGAGAGGCTTAGATGTGGCACATGGCCGAAAGTATGGGGCACCCAGTGACGATCGAACTCACTAGTTGTAACAGTTTTAGCAAGACCAGCTTGCTAACCATTAAACCACGCCGAGGCGCCCAAATTTCAAGTAGAGTATATCGGTAAAAGGATGTTGCTTGATTTTGTTTCGCAGCATATCAACATCGATGGGTTATTTCATGTCGAAATTAAAATATTTTGAATGCAATTGTAGGTTTTAATCTACAGATAAAATGTATTGTAGGTCATTTTGTATTAAAATGTATTGTTAGTAATTCCACTATAAATAGTTATTGTTGGTCATTTTATATATATAGTTCGTATTTTTACTATAAAAATGTATTTTTATACTTTCAGAGTGTTTTTCTTATAGCTCACTATATGCCCATATCAGGCACCCTAAAAATTGCTACCACACCGGGTCAGGATGAACCTGGGAACGATAACAATTAAGAAATGGTTCCACGCCCTTCAAAATCTCCTGGTCAGAGGCCTTGCTGCCGGATGTAGTTTATCGTCATAACCAGTCAGTCAGTCAGTCACACGTTCTGCATGCGATAAACATTTTTGACGATCATGCATCTTTCGATAAATGACTGACAAGGCAATTTTTCCCGCAGTAGGCTGCCATTACTTTCTGCGGTAGACTTGCGTAATGAACCCGACTGGAATTCGAACTTGTCTCTCCGTTCTCTCATTCTCAACCGATATCCATTACATCTCAACGCAAGTAAAAGGAACAATATGAATAAAAACGAAAGGAAAACTTATCTCAGCCAACGCGTTTCGTCCTCTGAGGAACCGTCCTCCGAGGATGAAACGCGTCGGTTAAGATAAGTTTTCCTTTTGTCTTCATTCAATCCAAGATATTTTTTTTAAATGACCCACGATGCCGTAAAAAAAGATCAATCAACAATCTCTTACCATGGGTGACTTGTAGTCTTAGACAAAGATAAGGAAGATTTCAAGCTTGAAGAAGGCAACGAAAGACCACTCTGTTACCTTCTCCAAGAACGATCATTTAAAGAAAAGGAAGTCGGGCAGATCCATAATCACATAACTCCTGGACGGACATGACACATGGACAGAGATTATGTATAGATAGATATAGACAGCGTGGACATAGGAATAAAGACTGCATGGTGATTGTCAGTACCATGCTTCAATGCAGCCTTCAAAGCAAATCTTGGTCGGAAGATCGGATTGAAATGTAAAAGTGACAGTCACAATGCAATGTTGATTCTTGTGTCCATACAGGATATAGCTTTAAGCGTTCTTTCTTTGATATCGAACAGTGAATATAAATATAGCAAATTATAAACACACACACACACACACACACACACATATATATCTATCTATCTATATATATATATATATATTCTTATAACTATTTTCTTGACATGATTTATCTAGAAATTGTTCGAATGTTTTGTCTGTCTGAGAGCTTCCGGTTACTCTTTCAGCCATTATCGAAGACGATTTAATTTTTACTTTTAACTGAATCAGATCGTTTTATGTGTGTGTCTAGAGTTATAGGAATATTTTATTTTCCAAACACGGTCAGAACATTGTGGCCGTGTTCATAGTTTGTCATTGAATGTTGGATTTTTCTTCTTTTTTTATTAATAATTTATTTTATTTATTCATTATTTTTAGCCCTTTTTTACATGTGGATGAAGCTATTATATTTGTATTATCATCAAGAATATTGCGGATGGATTTTGGTGGGTCTCATTTAAATACACATGGAGACGAAAATTAAATTAAAAAAATACTTAACCGCAGTACCTTGTCATTCGCTTTTAATGAAACATATGTATGCGAAAGTTAAGATATGCTCGAATGAATCAGGCAGTGATGCATACAATCAGCAATATTAGACGTCTCACCCTATAAAAAATACTAAAGCATGTACACTTTTTGTAAAGGCACATACATACCTTCTTTCGATTGGTCCTAAATTCTGACTTCACAATCGATTTAT